AGGTGTGCGTGATTCTCACGTATGGGCACGTGAAATTGGTGGGCAACCTGCTAATTTGGGAACTAGAAACGCTAGACAGCTGAAATTTTAAGGGGATGTCTTCTAACAGTCCTGGTGGCCAGTCTCAATTCTTTTAGCTAGCAGCACCTGCCGGAAAAAACAATGCCATTAGCGACAAAAAATAGCGGGGAACTATGCAAAAAACATATCTTCGCACCCGCAGTCAGTGCGCTGGCCAATTACTGCTTACTACAACCAGCATATTCGGTGTAATGTTGGAAAGCCCACTATACAAAATTCTTTTTTTTGCTGGATTTTCTCCAATTCTTTCTAGCAATCAACTTTGACAGCTTTGCAAGGGGAGCCGATGCGAATCCCTCATGCAAACTTGTAATAATGTCTGGAAAATACACTAACTAATGCTTGTTCCGGCGTCCAACCGATCAGTTCAAGGAGGAATGTGTGTGCCACCCGGCATGTTAGACATTCATAACTTTCATCGTTCAGTGCTACAGTCAATGACCATAAGCCATCATCACTGACACAAAGTGGCTCCACTGGTTTTGTTTCCATAACTGCCTGGAAATAAATTGCCAGAAAGTAAATTAAAACAGTTTTTTTAATCTCAACATATCCAGAGGGTATTTGTAAAGGCGAGACTCTCAAACAGGTAGTAAGAGTTACTCTGCATTTATTACCAAAACAATAAAAGATAAACAACGAAGCGCGCCAGGGATGCCGCTGCGATCATGCGTTTTGCGCAGTTCCGTCCAGCAAACATTTGCTTACTAAAAATATAACTTTTTTACACCTTCGCAAAATGGTAGATATGCTGTCTGGCTCCTAAGGTGAGTAAATTTTCACTGAAAATTTTATGCGTCGGTACAAGAAAGCTGAATTTGAAAAAACGGATGGGGAACATCTTCCCACATTTCAACCTCCTAATTTTTCGGCTTCCGGGCTAGTGAATTTCACATCTTAATTAAGACACTGCATACTTAACAGCTAAATTGGAGTTTATGAGATATCTGCAGCGGTAGAAAATATCATCCTGAAATTCCAGCTTCCTAGCTTTCATGGTTCCCGAGACAATTTTCCGCCAAAACTTTCACGAGGTCGCACGCATTACCCAAACTTTCTGGGTTACAAGTATTCAAGGGGCACGCCAATAAAATTTCAGATCCCTAGTCTCCGCGGCCCCTGAGATAACGAGTTTATCCACCAAAACTTTTACGAGGCCGTACATGTTACTCGCAGGCACGGGGAGGTTGAATTTAAGTTCTCTGAGTCGCACTTGGGCAGAGGAATTATCCACAAAACTTCAATTCCCGGCTTTCTTAATTCTCGAGATAATAATTCTCTCCGCCAAAACTTTTACGGGGCCCGTACTTGTTACCCAAGGGTGCAGCAAGGTTGGATTTTGAGTTCTCTGGATCGCATGTGATCAGGGGACACACCCATAAAATTTCAGCTTCCTAGCTTTCGTAGCTCCTGAAATAATTTACCCGCCAAAAGTTTTAAGGGAAGGTAGGTGATGCCTGAGAACGTGAGAACACTGAATCTGCGAGGCCTTACGTGGGCAGAGGTCATTACCTTAAAATTTCAGCTTCT